TAGTTTTTAATGGCGAAAGGGCCAATTGATGCCCAAAGAGCGCCATTTCAATAGACTAGAGATATGAACAATTATATGATACTGGCTGTAAAGGGGCCTTAAAATTCCTCACGCTAACACGGGTAAAAACATGGAAGTAATAAAATTATGACAGTGACGTGAGATATGTGCAGTGAAAGTGGATGGGAAAATGTCATGATAATAAAATTATGGAGGAGATGTAGTCACCGCAGCCACGACCACGGTACAGATGTCGTGCTACAAATCTCTTCGAAATATGGGGTGAAAGCTGTGAACAAGTTTCAAAAAAAAAGAGAAAAGTGATATCAGTTCAAAAGTGGATCCCTACCGATGAGCATCCCAGGGTGTAGTGGGAGCTGCTGTCGATAGGGCAGTAAAAAATGATTTTTTTTTTCTTACAGCATCTAGCTCATTGCACTGGACGAGAATGTGGAGAACTGTAAGTGGTACTCCACATCTCTCACAGTATGGTGGATTGCCGATATATAGAAAATATGAATGTGTGGAGTGTGTATGTCCTGTTCTAAGCCTTGTTAGTGTTACTTCTGTGTGTCGTGATTTTGATAGTGGTGGCCAATTACCTAGTTGTGGCTTAGTAGCATGGAGATTATTGTCTGTGTGTCTATCCCACGTGCTCTGCCAATACCCCCTGAGCTTTCGTGTTAGAAACGGTTTCAAGTCAAGTGCAGGGATTGGTATTGATGCATTGAAAGTAGTGTCGTTGGCGGAAGCAGCCAGCTTGTCGGCCAAAACGTTCCCTTGTATCTCACGGTGCCCTGGCACCCAGTAGACAACGGCATGCTTGATGTGTACAGTGTGCACAGAAGTGAGTAAAGTGACACCATCACGGGGATCTTGTGTTTTTAGGAGTTTTCAGTGCTTTGACCACACTTAGGGAATCTGTGTATATTTCTTGCGACTGGACCTTCCTTGCGACTTGACGTTCTTAAAGTTTACAAGATTCTCGGCAGTCGGCGAGTCTCTAAGTAAATTCTATGCCTTATTTTGCTTTTTTAGCGCATCACGGCACTCATTATTCTACCATGGGACTCGTCGTTTGCCTGACGGTTCACATGTATGGGGAATACATTTCGTTGCTGCATCAACCAAGAAAGCTGTAAAGTAGCACACAGCATCCCCTATGCTTAACGCCGTCATGTCAGTGCAAGTCAATACAGTCATTTTTTTTTAACTTTTCTCAATCGGCTTTGTCGGTGAGCCATTTGGGGACCTGCGCAGGACATGTATTTGTTATTGGTGTGCTGATAACGGTCACTAACGTATAGATTATTATTGACTTCCCATTTAAGTAGAGGCAGGAGTGATGGGGATGCTATGCTGAGGTCTATTGTCGAGTACGTATTGTTAGCGATGTTGTAATATGTTGACTCTTTCCGATTCACGAAGCACGCACCGGGAAAAAAAGGAACTGTTCAATCAGGCGACCTCGCGCATCGGAGTGAGAGTCACCCCAGAGGCTACCATGTGCATTAAAGTCCCCTAGGACAAGGTAGAGTTTTTGAGGGACTGGAATTTATGTTTTTCAAGACGGTGTTGTGGGTTTATGTAGAGAGAGCAGATGGTGACGAGCTTATTCAAAAAAAAAACTGCTCGAACAGCTACCGCCTCAAGGGATGTTTGTAGTGGTAGGTGTGTGCATGCAATCCCTTGATTGACTATAATGGCAACACCACCGGATGACGCAATGGCATCTTTCCGGTCCCTCCGAAAAATAACGTAATGACGTAAAAAGTTGGCGTGTTTAGGTTTCAGGTGTGTCTCTAGTACACACAGCACCTTAGGTGTATGTTTGTGTAACAGTTCCTGGATATCGTCGAGGTTTCTCAGCAGCCCTCTGACGTTCCACTGTAGTATTTGTGTCATTTTAAAATGTTGTGTGGTGCTGTGTGTACAAAAGTGTTGGGTTAGGTTACAGGGCCTTTTGGCCCTGTAACCGATGTTTTTCAGTGCCAAACAGGGCCGATGATTTTTTTTTCTTTTTTGGCGCGTTCCAAGGAGTTGCGCCTATTATTCGGCGTCTGAGGCACCGGAGGAGTGGGACTTGTATGCATCACCTCTAGTGAGGTGGTGGATGGTGCCTACTCGGCAGGCACGGTCATAGAACTTTCGGATCTAACTGCGCTTGCAGTGGTGCGAGTTTCAGCAGACACGGGGGTCTGCCACCCTGTTTGTCAGGCGGCGGAGGAGTACAGGCTGCTCCAGCCGGGGGCGCTGGTGGCACGACCGCGGCCACACACTGTGTGACATTCGCGGATGCAGAGACATGTGGCGCGGCGCCTCGGCGCGTCACATCTGCGAAGGAGGGATGAAATGGGTTGTGTAGTGTGAAACGTTGGTGTGCTTCTTGGAATGAAAGATTGAATTTGACCTTAAGTTCTACTATTTGTTTCTCTTTTTTTTCATGGGGGGCATGATCGTGAGTAGGCAGCGTGATCTCCTTCACAATTTGAACAATGAGTTGTTTCTGAGGTGCAGTTGTCCGATATGTGTTGAATGGATGCACACTTTGCGCAAGTGGCACGTCCTCTGCAACTCTGCGATCCATGACTGAAACTATGACACTTGAAACATCGACGAGGGTTGGAAATGTATGGTCTTACACGGAGCTTACAATAGCCGGTTTCGATTGATTCTGGTAGGTCACTTGTTCTGAAGGTAATTATTACATATTTTGTAGGGATCAGTTTGTTGTTGCGCCTTATTGTTATTCTTTGGACTTTGAACACGTTCTTGTCCTGCCAACCTTCGATCAGCTCACTTTCAGAAAGCTCAGTAAGATCATCATCGCAAATAACGCCACGGACAGTGTTCATGGACCTGTGTGGGCCAACCGAAACAGGGGTTTCCCCAAACGCTACAAGCTTACACAGCTTCTCATACTGAGCTTTGTCACGAACCTCCAAAAGAAGATCGCGACTTCCCGTCTTTGTCACTTTATAACCTAGGCCTATTGCTTCTGTGAGAGTTTTGGAAACGAGGAAAGGTGAAATGGCTCGAACTGTCTTCTTTTCGTTTTGACTGCGGATAACATGGTACTTTCGGAATGTCGGCTTTGGTGTGTTACGCAGAAAAGTGTTTTCGGTGCGCCACCTTTCCAGGGAGCGATCACGAAGGGGGGGGGGGGGGAAGCTTTTGCCATAAAAATACTATAAAGTCTGGCGGCGATGGTGGCCACCCACCACCGAGCCCAAATGGGGACGCTACAAGGTGGAAAGCAAACACTTGGAGACGCCAGCCATACATCGCCGCTATAACCTGTTATAATTATCCTAGGTTGGATAAGTACACCACGTAAACCCTCGCCGCCAGGAAATTCGGAAGTAAACGGAAGAGAGAAGATGACAAGACAGATAGAATGTGAGCGATAAAGACGAAGGTTAGGGGGAGAGAGATAGGAAAAGGCGACTGCCGATTTCCCCTGGGTGAGTCAGCCCAGGGGTGCCGTCTACGTGAAGCCGGGGCCAGAGGGCTGTGTTGCCTCTGCCGGGGGTCTTAAAGGTCCAAGCACCCAGCCTTAGCTACACCCCCAGGATCCCCTCTTCCCCGAACACGGTTCAACCACGCACGGCTAGGTGTGGGAGGGTGTCGAAACCCCCCGTTAGCTCGGGTCCATGGTGTCGCTACACACCAAACGCGTGCTTTCACAGACACCCCTGCGGGGTGATTTTCATGTTAAGGTCTGTCGCTTTTGTTCGCCGTGCAATCATGCCATACCATACCAGTTTTGCAACATGCCATCTGAACAAAACCACTGCAAGAGCTGCAGGACCACGAAATGTAGACCATGACATTCATGACATATATGTCATGATTTTTATGTTATGACAAGTCAAATATGTTCTTCAGACAGTCATGTCATGCCATGCCAAGTTTGGTATCGATGCCATTATCGAAACGGCCAGGAGAGCTAAAAGTCGTAGGTGGCTAGACAGACAGACAGACAGACAGACAGACAGATACCCCCAAAGTCGCCGAAGTTCGCTAAAAAATGCTTCGCATTTTAATAACGTAAATAAGAAGAACAAGGACACAATAGGATTCGAACCCAGGTCCGCTGTGTACCAGCCCATTATTCTACCACTGAGCCAAGCTGGGTTTTTTTTTTTTTTGTTACTGTTACCGGTTAAGCTTTAAACATGGTGAGATAAAATACATATGTTGTAAAACACAACAAACATAACAAAAAATGACCACGGCCGTCAAGCACTACTATAACACATCCCGCCCTAAAATTCTTTCATGGTTAGTAGGGCAGAAGCCCTACTAACCATGAAGGTACGCACTGAGCCACGCCGGTGCTTGGAACTTGTTTCAAAACTGGTCTTTGACAGGCCTGATGTCGGGAAAATAGTCGTGTTAATATGAGTAATAAAGCGTTTTAGAACAATAAAACAACAACCAGGCGTCACACAATCCAATTGAGTAACGAGTGGGCCGTGCGATGATCAAACCCATTAGAAAATTCCTTCTTGATCACCTATTAACTCTGGCACATACCCTATTCTGGCGTGATTCTTCATCGTCGTCAGCCACTCCATAAGAAAATTGCACAAAATTCCTAGCAAGTGTGTAGCGAATCTCACGCTTCTTTGGAGAATGACGGAGGAACAGCATAGCGAATGCTGGTCTACTACCCAGAAATTATGATTATTAATGGCGTAGTAGGTACCCAGCAAGTGCGCTTATATCAGTTACCCAAAGAGTGTTTATAAAAGTCTCTGAAAGGCCGCTCTTCCAGCTTTCGCTGTGACTGTGCTACGCGTTCCGCGCAGGCGGGGCATTTTTTTTTTTTTCGTATTTGATGGGAGTTCCTGCTGGGCCTGCAGTACAGCTAGCTGGTTTCCGTCTAAGCACACGAGCTTCAATAATTAGAAGCCTTCGCAGGATGACTTCGTATAGCCTTCGTTCCATGCAGGACTGGCGTTTTCTTTTAATAAAAAGAAACGCCGTAAACTTACTTGCATATCGATCCGTAAGGCATTGTCTCGTTTTGGCACCTAGACGGGCTCACATGCATCTTTTTGTTCTTCTTGAGCGGCCGACACGTGACGACTGCGAAAGAAAGAAAGCAATTATTGGCGCAAAGAACGTAACAGATATTCCTACGCACGTGTCTACGAGCCATCGAAGCTTTTTGCCCTTGTTTTGTGGTACAAGCGTTCAGAGACCCCATTCACAAAAGTCTTTCATCCATACGTATAGTTAGCAAGGACGAGACGGCATGTTTTTACCGATGATATAGAGACTTGCAGCAATCAGTTACAATTGCCTGCTGCGTTGTAGCAGTGTTTTCACCGGGATAAAATCAATGCCAAACAGAGTACTTATGGGTGGTTTCTCTAAACGACGATAGTTATAGCGCGAAAACAAAACGACACAGAGACAAGAACTTCTTGTCTCTGTGTCGTCGTTTTGTTTTCGCGCTATAACTATCATCATGCCATACCAACTAGCCCAAGCTGCCACACTTCTAAGTTCCCTAAACGGTTACAGCAATGTTTTTAAATCCTGACTAAAACACTGCTGTAAAGGTATAAAAAATTTACCTCCAAGTGGCGTAAGTTTTCATTTTGTATGGACATAACCACCCGACAGTGTGTTGAAAATACGTATGATCTTTTGAAAGTGTCATATCTTTCATTGAATTTTGTGTACGATCATCTATGAAGTTTCATATATGAAGCGCTTCATCCATACGTTCATCCAGCTTCATATATGGAGATGTAATGAAGAACTTTTGCACTGACCACAGAGCCAATGTTCAAAATTTAGCCCATTGATCGGCTGCCTTCACTAACAATGGTTTCGTAGCCACTGTTGACTGCATCGTCTTCTAAATGTGCAGTCAAAGAGATATTTTTAGGTACTTTAGTTAGTTAGTTAGTTAGTTAGTTAGTTAGTTAGTTAGTTAGTTAGTTAGTTAGTTAGTTAGTTAGTAGTTAGTTAGTTAGTTAGTTAGTTAGTTAGTTAGTTAGTTAGTTAGTTAGTTAGTTAGTTAGTTAGTTAGTTAGTTAGTTAGTTAGTTAGTTAGTTAGTTAGTTAGTTAGTCAGGTCAGTAGTAGTTAGTTAGTCAGTCAGTCAGTCAGTTAGTTAGTTAGTTAGTTAGTTAGTTAGTTAGTTAGTTAGTTAGTTAGTTAGTTAGTTAGTTAGTTAGTTAGTTAGTTAGTTAGTTAGTTAGTTAGTTAGTTAGTAGTTAGTTACTTAGTTAGTTAGTTAGTTAGTTAGTTAGTTAGTTAGTTAGTTAGTTAGTTAGTTGATTGCTCAGTGCTTACAGGCGATGAACAGTTTACGTTTGCACCGCCGCGGTGGTATAGTGGCTAAGGTACTCGACTGCTGACTCGCAGGTCGCGGGATCAAATCCCGTCTGCGGCGGCTGCATTTCCGATGGAGGCGGAAATGTTGTAGGCCCGTGTGCTCAGATTTGGGCGCACGTTAAAGAACCCCAGGTGGTCGAAATTTCCAGAGCCCTCCACTAAGGCGTCTCTCATAATCATATTGTGGTTTCGGGACGTACGTTAAACCCCACATATCAATCAACAACTTACGTGTTATCAACGTGATGTATTAGCAGCAACTTCCTCGGTGCACTGAAGAACACAAGAAACACATGCACACAGGCCTAACTTTCAAAGTGTTGCTGTGTCAAAGTAGGCTACTAGCCTATACAAATCCGCACGTTTTGGCTGCTATACTGATTAATGTTTGTCGGAAGTTTTAAACCGACAAGATATTGGAGTAGCTGACAAGAAATCGGGATAGAATAAGGTAGGGTCATGAAAACGCGTACGCAAGAGAGCAGATAAATACAACGCAAAAGACAGCGTTTACGTTGTCTTGAGCTATTCTCATGTGTATACGTCTACGCGCCTATGCGTTCCCTCTGTACGCTGGAAGTAAGAGCTGCATGCATTTTCCGTTCGCCCCTATGTTCTTCTGTGCGTTAGAGGTCACTCTATCGATGCGCCAAAGCACGTGATCTTACAAATTAGCATTCGCGACAGGAAGGTAGAGAGCGCAGAGTTTTCAACAATGCAAGCAAGGCGCGGGATTAGACACACCCAAAGAGGTTTTTAAAAAAAAATTTTGGTTACACTAAAGTGCGTAAACTGTGCACTGTGCCTCACGCAGAAGTTCGTAACCGTGGACTTACCTCGACACGTTGGCAGCTGGCCAATCCACATGCCATTGGTCGCACAGGTAAGGCTGGAGTTGCCGATCAGATTGTGACCCACGGAGCACCAGACCACGCACGTTGTGCCAAACTCGAACGTGTCGCTCGAGCAGTTCATGTTGCCATTGGGCGGTGCGTTGAGCGCTGGGCAGCGTACCTCTGCGCGCCACAGACGAAGCCTCTGAATTATGTAGCGCGCACTTTCGCACTTTTCAAGCGATAAGACGCGGGCAATGATGAAGCCCATAGCCAGAATTGTTTCTCGCAAGCACTTGCCGAAAGCCTTGATTGTGTTTAGAAAAAGTGGTTAACGATTTAGAGTACTCGGTACTCTACTATGGGAGAGCTTGAAGCCGTCCCGTGGCTACTCTAAGAAAAATGTCCCCATCAGAGAGCTTGAATCTCGATTTAGAGGCCTTGATTATATGAGGAAAACTTTATTTACATCTTTTGTAAAGCACCCGCGTCTATCAAAGTTTGGAGGGAAAGAAGGCGGACTACTAGCCTTCCTCATCCCCCCGGGTCCCGCTTCTTTCTGCCAATGGGTCTCGTTGCAGTGCATGCACTCCCATGTGAACGCATGGAATTTCGCAGAAGACAGAGCTTCACCATATGCGATCTTCATTCAAGTTCAAGCTTATGTAACACAAATATTCTTTTGTGCCCTTACAAGAATGTCTGTGTATGTACAGTGCTAGCAAAGATCTCGATAAGCATGCTCGAACAACGGATCGCTTATTAAGCGATATCATTTGCCGCCTGCGTAGGGTAGCCAACCGGACGTATGTCCGGGTAAGTTTCCTGCCTTTGTGCTACTTCTTACCTTTCTTTCTGTCTTTATCTCTCTCCAGCAACAATACTGCATTATTGAAATAAAAAATACAAATGCATTCATATTCTCAGTGGGGTGGAAGGAGTACAAAAGCGCTTATAGAGGCTTGACTCGGAATATGCGCCCCCTACGGAAACTTGGCAATAATTTACATCGACTCAAAAGCATGTGCAGCAAAGGTGACACAGCGAGATGTACATTCACCCTAAGTAAACACAACACGCAAATTTTGATCAGTTTGCGCTTACCCATTCAGACGAACCCGTATGTGTCTCTAGAGAAAACTTTAAGTGGCAATGATACAGCATAAGACATAACTAATAGACTACCTTATATAGATTATTTTCTATGACCGTCTAAATTTTGGCGGCTTCGCTAGCCTAGTATTTATGAGTTATAGTTATTCAGGTGTTCATTCGACTTTTTTTTCGTGATTTTTTATTACTGCAAACGTTAAACTATCAATATGACATTGATGTTTCAAACCACATAGATATATCGACACATCACAGTTGGCACTAATCGAGGTGAGCAAAACAAGAATGTAAGCTATAGCGAGTGTTTATCGTTTCGTTGCTTGTTAAACTTGCAACTTAAACTTGCAACTTTTCACTGAACAAGCCTTGCCACTTGTGCCGCGATAGGTCATAATGGGATAGGCACCGTGACTAGCGGGGTAGAAACTTGGTATAGGCAAAGAGCAGATGTATGCACTAAGGGATCATGAGGGCAAAGTAACTACCAATATAGATAGGATTGTAGCAGAGGAGTTTTAAAGGGGCCTGTACACTAGCAGGGACAAGCACGACCACAATGTAAGAACTAGCAGTAACGCAGGTGACATTCCACCAGTATTGACTGAAGAAGACGGGAAAGCATTGGAGGAAATGTAAAGAGGCAAAGCTGCTGGTGAGGAGGATCAGGTAGAATCAGATCTGCTGAAAGACGGAGGACAGATTGTGTTAGAAAAAATATCCATCCCTGTTGACGTAATGCCTTCTTGTGGGGAGGGCATAATCTTTGAAGAATGCCAACATCATGTTAATCCACAAGAAAAGGGAAGACGAGGACTTGAAGAATTACAGGCTGATCAGCTTGCTCTTCTTCCTATACGAGCTATTTACAAAGGTAATTGCTAACAGAGTTAAGACAACATCAACATTCAATCCCCAAAGAATCAAGCTGGAATTTAAACAGACCATTCTACAATAGACCACATTCAGGGGCTACAGAACCGGGGGGGGGGGGGCGCAGTGGTGGCCGTCGCCCCCACAGGTCAGAAAGTATCAGGGGCATGCCACCCCCCTCCCTAATAGCTGCTACGACCTTCTCGCCATAGCAAAAACAGAGATTTGTATTAACACCCATATATATATATATATATTTATTTCCTACAAACATCGCCCCCACACTTCAGATATACTTCCGGAGCCCCTGACCACATTCATACTATCAATCAGGTGATATAGAAATGCTCATAATACACTCAACCACTATACATAGCCTTCACCGATTACAAGAAGACATTTATTCAGTATAGATATCATCATTCATGCAGACACTGCGGAATCAGGACGTCGACGAAGCATATATGAACATCCTGGAAGAGATATACAGAGGATCAACTGCCACCATAGTGTTCAATAAAAAATGACAGAACATCAATAAAGAAAGGTAGTGGGATAATCAGGGTGAACAGTCGAAGTGCCTCAGACAGGCTGGCCGACATTTTGATAGAAGGACCTATCTTTCTCAAAAGCGCCGTGTCATCCTTGGCGTGTTAGTTTTAAAAACAGTTAGTAGTAACGTCATCTCTTGGTGGTGGCGCGGGTCCCTGTTTATAATCACCGTCTGAAAAGAAAAAAAAATCTATAATGCAGAGGAGTTCAGTCCTCGCTTTATTTCAATTGAAGCGAGTACTGTACTTCTCTGCATTATAGTTTTTTTTTTTTTCAGATGGCGATTCTCAACAGGGACACGTGCCACCACCAGGAGATGACTCCACTACTAACCCCTTTCAAACTAAAACGCGAAGAATGGCACGGCGCCTTTGAGAAATATGGTCCTCCAATCGAAACGTCGGCCAGCCTATCTGAGGCGCTTCCACTGTTCACCTTGATTGTCCCACTACGTTGTTTCCACCTGTCGGCTCCCGTCTTGATTCTGAATAAATAAGAGTGTAAGACAAGGAGAGGCGATCTACTCAATGCTATTCACCGCGTGCTTACAGGAGGTTTTCAGAGGCCTGGAATCGGAAGAGCTAGGGATAAGAATTAATAAAGAGTAGCTTAGTAACCTGCACTTCGCCGATGACTTTGCATTGCTGAGTAACTCCGAGGACGAATCGCACTTCATTATTACTGAATTAGACAGGGAGAGGAGAAAGGTAGGTCTAAACATTTTTCTGCAGAAAACGAAAGTAATGTACAGCATTCTCGGAAGAGAACAGCGCTTCTAGATTGGTAGCAGTGCACTGGAAGCTGTAAAATAGTACATCTGTTTAGTACAGGGAGTAACCATGGAGCCGAACCACGAGATTAAAGTAACTAGAAGAATAGGAATGGAGTGGAGCACATTCGGCAAGCGTTCTCAAATTATGAATGGTAAATTGTCCCTATCCCTGGAAAGGAAGGTATATAACAGCTGCGTCTTGCTGGTACTTATCTAAGGAGCAAAAACCTGCAGGCTTACAAAGAGGGTTCAGCTTAAATTAAAAACAACGCAGCGAGCGATGGAAAGGAAATTTATATGTGTAACCTTAAAAAACAAGAAAAGAGCAGAGTGGGTCAGGGAACAAACAGCTGTTAAGAACATTATAGTCGAAATCAACAAGCCGAAATGGACATGTACCGGGCACGTAGCGCGTGGGCAGGATAACCGCTGGTCATTAGGGGTAACTGGCTGGATTTCCAGAGAAGGCAGGCGGATTAGGGGGAGACAGAAAGTTAAGGGGCAGATGAGATTAGGAAGTTTGCGGGTATAAAATGGCAGCAGTAAGCACAGGACCGAGTTGACTGGCGGAAAATGGGAGAGACTTTTGCCCTGCAGTGGACGTAGTCAGGCTGATGCAGGTGATGAGGTCATAGGGAAGCGTCTGTCACGCGGTGGTGACGACATACAAATCTTACTCGCGGAAGCACAAGCAGAGCACGTATGAAGTGCCCATCCTGCTTTGTTGGTTATTACTAGTCGGGCAGTAGCATCAACTTACTGTCACAGAAGAACTGTCTTCCAGACCACGCCTTATTCGCCCTGCAGACACGTGGCACCTCCGATTTGCTGTTCCACGGTAATTTTCCGGCCAGGACTTCAGTCATGTTGCATGAATAAGGACAATAACCTTCGTTGCACTTGAAGTCGCACTTGCTACCGAATTCGTTTCCGCATGGGTGAGGCAGAGTGCTTCCACCAGGAGGATCCGAAAGCTTGGCGCACTTGACGGCTGCGTGCAAGACATTGAAGTTTATTGCGTGTGGTCTCGTGAAGTTAATACAATGTACGCAAGGTAGACTGTACGTACTGTGGCGATTGTTACATGCGGGACATTTTACAGGCAGCTGGCTATTAAGAATGATTTGGCCTACTCCAAGCGTGACAAGCCTGCCATACATTACCTCAACGCCACCGCATGTATCCAGGGCCTGTCTGACCCTCTGCTTCACGCTATCAGTACTCTACTACATCATTATGTCAAGAAACATGAGGATCCTTAAGCATTGCTTTTAAGACGTGAACGCAATAGTGATATTCTGTGCGTTGTGCGTACTTCAAACACATAGTACATATTCTTTATTGTCTGATGTTACTCAAGAAGTTTGAATTGTGGATTACTGCAATGCCTTCGATATAGTTGACAGTGGCGTGTGCCAGGGAAGCTTTCGCATATGGCTGCATTCTGTGTAATGGGCAGCATGCTTTAAACCACAAGCAATTATGCACGTGAAATGTTTTCAAACTTGCTATGCACCCACTACCTGGTCTTAGGGGAATGTGCGCAGTATCGCGTGTGCCTTTTGTGATGAGTTGCTGACTTTAAACTGCGAATTCATTGTGTCAATCTCATGTTCTGACGCCCGATGGGCATCTACACTTGTACCGCGCAATATTACGATGTCAATTACTAATATTTGTTACGATTTTGCGTCCCAAAACTCTCATATGCTTTAGAGAGACACCGAAGGGGAAAGGGGGCTCCAGAAATTTCGACACCTGGGGTTTCTTAACGTGCACCTAAATCCAAGTGCACGAGAATTTTTTTGTATTTCACCACATCGAAACTTACAAGGACATCTGCTTTTTGCCCTTGTATCCAAGACATACATTAGTCTGAAATAAAGACAACAACAACAACAACAACCACGTCTCCGGCATTTACTGGCAATAGGGCTGAGGGTGTGTTCATAGGAGTCTCAAAGCCAACCTCGAATTCAATTATAACCACTGAAGTTCGTCATGCACAATTTTTTGTCGTACGAATGGTCAAAACTTGTCATGTATCGCTTATTTTAATGGAACATAACAAGCATTCATTGAACCTCGCACGTAGCGAAAGAGACATGATTGATTGATACGTGGGGTTTAACGTCCCAAAACCCCCACATGATTCTGAGAGACGCCGTAGTGGCGTGCTCCGGAAATTTCGACCACCTGGGATTCTTTAACGTGAGCGAAAGAAACAAGTCCGAAATCTACGAACAAAATATGTGCAAGAGCATTAAGAATTATTACTGTGCTTCGAAATATATGAGGGCACAGCGGATATTACTGTCGTGTGTGTGTGCGTGCGTGTGCGTGCATGCATGCGTGCGTGCGTGCGTGCGTGCGTGCGTGTGTGTGTGTGTGTGTGTGTGTGTGTGTGTGTGTGTGTGTGTGTGTGTGTGTGTGTGTGTGTGTGTGTGTGTGTGTGTGTGTGTGTGTGTGTGTGTGTGTGTGTGTGTGTGTGTGTGTGTGTTTTCGCTCAATCTGCTACAGTAGTAAAAAACATTACTGAATGAGCGTGGACTTACGTTTGCAGGGTACACTGCTGCCGGGGTTCCCCTCATAGCCAGGTATGCACAAGCATTGATCCAAGCTGTTCGCGCCTTCGTCAGACGTCGTTGAGTGACCCGGACACTCCTTGCAATTTAGAGAGCCAATTTCCTTCTTGTATTTACCTCGTGGGCAACCTGCGTAGGTAGTCGTTTGTTCTGTTCCGAGATTGAAGGACAAGATGGAGGAGTAGGAGCAAGGGATGGAAAGACGCGGAGGCCAGCCAGTTTTTTAGAGCGGCTGGCAACCATATGCTTCATGTAAATGGGTCAACCGTCTTTAAAAATGTACAAGGGGCACCACTAAGAAGAAAACTACACCTTACGTGTGAAGTGGGCCATTTATTCTGTAGGTCACCTAGCTTCTACTTCTTTTCTACATTGGCACATCAAGTGCGGTCACCTGTCGTCGTCGTCATCATCGTTCTCACGCATACGTGCAACAATATTAAAATGCGGCCGTACACGACTGCCATCAAGGCCTGTCTCCACGCTTTTTTGTCTTACTTGCAGGCATAAGACGCGCAACAACGTTTGATATTCTTTTCAGGGCGTACTCAGACGGGAACATTCATATGTCCGCGATTCACCTTTTCCTGCGAAATTGTGTAGTGAGCGAGTTGGTTGGCGTCAAAAGAGTACTTCCTAGCGTGAACAGGAAAAGCATACACTCATGAAAGAACGACTAAAGCAATAGAGGTTTGCCACCCGACCGTTCGCTTCTTACTCCGTCCATCACTATAGCGTTTGTTTCCAGTTCTCCCTGCTGCTCATTCCTTGATATCTTTGCGTCTGCTGTCATTGTAAGTAAGGTTGTTGGTCATTCCCATCCAAGCTGTGTAAGCGTTTGTGAAGACCACACAAAGCCACAGGTGGAACATTAGTGTTTCTTCCGCTTAAAATGTGTCTCGCTAAGGATAATTTTGTGAATTCGGATCAAAGCTATGAAGGCGAACGTTGGCCAACAAGTTCGGTCTAAATTTCACTGTGCTCCCGTATTCTCGAGTGAAGCCATGTGGCTGCGTCAGTTCTGGAATATGGTTTACGACTACATAGTGGATACCATAATGCTTTCAAAGGGGTTTCTCAATCGCATGAATGTTTCCTTAGCCGCGATGACCCGTTATTTGATGATACTCTATGCAGTCTTTTTATTATTGATTGATTGACCGCATCAGAATTTATATTCAACCGAACGGGTTTGGGGGGCAGTGATAAACTATCAGCACGAACATTCTAACGCACAGCCCGCCAAATACAAATTACACGGAAGTTCTAAACCAGGCTATGTATCGGTAGTGGAAAGTTGGGGCAAGTTGATAAACGTTCAGTATATTTAAACTGCGCGGTGAAACGATAGACGAAGAAAGAAGCTGAGACGAACAAACAAGCGTAGACTAACAACTGGGTTTATTGAGTTTATTGATAAACCCAGTTGTTAGTCTGCGCTTGTTTATCTAAGCTTATTTTTTCGTGTATCGTTTCACCGCGCTGTTCGACTATAAATATCGGTAGTAAGAAATGACATCACGCACGTCGACATGTGCCGCTCGTCCCGGTGCCTTCGTAGCCCTCTTTGCAGATGCACCGATAACTTCCGCCTCGGGCACCACAGCCGCAGATGGCGTTCACGTCGCAGCTCCCGGACTGATCGAAGCACTTGGATGCATCCACGGAGTCCCACTGGTTATCCTGGATATCTGTAACACGAAGAGAAGAGTAGAGATGAGTAGAGCCTTGTATCCATGACACACCAGCGAGGGGGGCTCACCAAGCACCGGGTAGACTTTCGAGTTTTTATAAGTTCATCGTCAACATCATACTCATCCTAACTACTCCAGCTGCAGGGCAAAGCATTCCTCTCCTATTTTCTACTATTGAAGTCGGTCCTGTGCCTCCTGCTGCCACGTCATACCCCCAAATTTCTCAATCTCATCCAGCTACCTAACTTCGTGTCTCTCCCTTACTCCAGCCCTTACCTACGGAGCAGAAACCTGGAGGATTACAAAAAAGATTCAACTTGATTTGACGACAGTGCCGTGAACAATGGAAAGAATAATGATAGGTGTAAGCCTAAGAGACAGGAAGAGAGCAGAGTGGGTCATTGAACAAGCGAAGGGTTAAGTATATCGTAGTTTAAATCAGGAAGCTGAAATGGGCATGGGCAGGGCATACCGGTATAACGCGTAGGCAGGTTAACTGCTGCTCATTGAGGGCAACTGAGTTGATTCTAAGAGAGGGCAAAGAATAAGTCAGAGACTATTAAAAAGACATAACAAATGAAAGCAAACATATTTAATAAAAAGATTTATTGTAATAAAATAGAAAAATGCAACATGAAATAGGAAAATACAGATATAACAAATGGCGTGGATATTTTGAACTCCAAAATATATATATATATAAGGCGATTTGTTAAACAAGTAAATCAGGAGGAAAGATTGGTTCTATAGCCCTAATCTTTTTGAAGCTTCAATAAATCACTGCAAGACATTGGCAACCTTCCCGGTCCTGTATCCAAGACACAAAGCCTACTGAGAAAGTAAATTTGGTGCATTTAAATCTGATCTATACAATCGGGAGACTAACATCAAGTATCACAAAGGCCGAATTCACTTATTTGCCTCGCTATACGTTTTTCCCATTTGTTAACAGGCTCCACCAGTGGCATGCCCCACATCATTATTGGCTTAAATATTCTCTCACGAAAATGTTTAGCGTAAAGCATTTATGTGAATGTTGGTTCAGGAATGTGGAGATTGGGATGATCCCTATTACGAGTTGTGCAAGAAAGCGAGTGTAGCTTGTAGAGGCAAAATTGGCGACCTTTAAGATTCGCCTTTAAGATTCGCCTTTAAGACTTACGTTATCTGGCTTGAGCTGAGCTGTGATTGCAGAAAGAGTAGAGGTACATAGAGCCTAGAATCTGTGGTACACATCCATGCTGGGGAATCGGCTAAGAACCGAACAGTCCTAACGAAATACTTCAATTTTGTCAGCTTACTTATTTTAAAATTATGCGAGGGGTCAATATAAAATTAGTTAGAAATTTACAAATAAAAACTATGGTTATAAAAATGGAGCAGAAATATAACTTAAACAAAAATAAATAAACAAATAAATAAATTTAAAAGCCAGAAATTTGGGAGTAATGATTGTTTCTACAGCATGAGTGCAACGGCAGCTTTCACGTCACTGTATGGTCATTGTAGAAAAGAGTGTGGGGTCTGGAACTCGGTTGTCCTTTATCATGAGCAGCACCATCGTCATCACCAGGGGCGACTATGGCACAAAGCGCCAACGGAAAAGCCTCGGCCACAAGGACCTTTACTGCGTTCTCTAATGCCACCATATTTTGTAGGTGCAGGGAGTTCCAGGACACATGTGTACCCCACCTAAGTGGAGTGCAAGTGGGCGAATCCGCGACGATCTTTCACCCACCGCTTGGGTGCGACAGGTGTCCCGGCACCTGCGTTGCTGCTGCGGGTGGTTAGCGCATAGACAGGCCCTTAGACTACCAACTCGGAGGCATAAATCTGACCGTGATAGCTGTGGATATATAGAAGGTACGTTAAATGTAGACGTTTCGTGCCCTCCTGTGATTCGGGCAACCATCTATTTCCATCTACTTAACTAACACTATAATAAAATAAAGCTAGTAATCGAGGAACGCCGTGCTACGCGAGTAAACCATAATGAAAGTGCAGTTGCTTTAGCCAGAGCTTAGCAGAAGACAAAAGGTGGATTCTTCCGGGTTGCGTCACCGCAGCACCGTTCAAAGTGCTGACATCGGTGGCACCCGAAGCTAATAGGGTGCCGACTGCTGACCACTGTGCCCACTCCATGACATGTACCTTCGCGGAGGTCCAAGTTCACTTCCTTGATGTAGGGAAAGCTTGTCAGCATGTAGATGTGCGCGGTGGATGTCGCCACCTCCTCCAACTCGGCACGGTTGATGCTGGCGACTCCAACCGCAAATATAACGACACCTTTTCGCTGCAACTCTCGGGCAATGCCCTGTGGTCTGGAGCTTGCGTCAGCCTGCCCATCTGATATCAGCACGATTATTCTGCAAAGATGAAAAAAAAGTCAGACTAGTTTATTCTATAAAAAAAGACACCACCAATTCTCAAAGAAAAAAAAATAAATTTTTTCCGCAGTCACAAATACGAGTGTTTTTTCTAGTCTCCCAGAAGGGCCCTTAGAAAAAAAAATGTCATTTGACTCATTTTTTAGTCCTAACTCGCTACGCATGACTCTCTTTGGAAAGAGTCGCGACACCAAAAAGGGTGTCACCATGCCTTTTTCGCCTTTTGAAGGACAGTAAGTCAAGTATGTACCACTTTTTATTTGCGTTTCTAATGCCCATAAAATTGCACTTCAATCAAAAACGCCAGGCCTGCGCGTAAGGCACAGCACAGTCACAGCGAAAGCTAGAAGAGCGGTCTTTCAGAGCCTTTTCTAAACACTCATTGGTTATCTACTGCAAGCACACTTGCTTGATACCCACTACTGTACTAATAATAAAATATTTTGGTAGTAGGCCGGCATTCGCTATTCTCTTTTCATTTTTGTCATTCTTCTGAGAAGTGTGGTATCCGCTAAACATTTGCAAGAAATTTTGTGCCTATTGTTCATGCAGCGGTTTGCGTTTCTAACACCCATAACATTGTACTTCCATAAAAAGAAACAGTTCCAACTGGCACTGCTCTTTACTCTAGGTACCATACACCAAGCTGGCGAAGAAGACCATTTTTAGTTTTTACTTCGCTACTACATGTGGCACAGACACCCCGCCGCGGTGGCCTAGTGGCTAAGGTACTCGGCTGCTAACCCGCAAGTCGCGGGATCGAATCCCGGCTGCGGCGGCTGCATTTCCGATGGAGGCGGAAATGTAGGCCCGTGTGCTCAGATTTGGGTGCACGTTAAAGAACCTTAGGTGGTCTAAATTTCCGGAGCCCTCCACTACGGCGTCTGTCATAATCATGTGGTGGTTTTGGGACGTTAAACCCCACATATCAATCAATCATTACATGTGGCACAGACAGCAAATTGGGTTTTTGATGTACCTTGATTACGGCTCGCCACGCGCTGTGGTGGTCTGAATGAGCGTCTTGGGAGGGTTTCTTTAACGTGCCTGAAGTGTCTCATTCTACCCTTTTACTGAACAAAACGCAGTGCCTAATTTGCGATATAGCGGGGATTTTTGCTGCTCCTATTATTTTACTTTTTTTTCTTGAATGGTGGTGTTAGCCCTGATGGGGCAGCTATGTATTGCACCTATAGAGTAGCACATATGCCCTATTTTCATCATTTTTTTTTTTTGTGGTCGTGCAGAAGTGGGGTCAACTACAATCACACATACGTGACAAGTCGTGACTCACCATTAAGAGTAACACGTACTCTTGTTTTTCTTATAGGAAACCAGTGCTGGAGTTTCTGCGGTGGCCCCGATGGTTAAATCGCGCATGTTGAGCCGCTCGCGCTAAAGTAATTCGCTTTGCAGAGCTTCCCTCCGTTTTTCAGCGCCTTCCTGTGAAAGTAGCTTCGAGATCAAGTGCTATCAAGTGAAAAAGTAAACAATGTAGTTAGGGTGTGAGGGCTGCTCGAGCTGTTTGGGCCAAAATCAAGCATGGGAACGGCGCATGCGCGAGCGCTCGCAGCGGTACACTTCGGCCGGTCATCCGCGCGAACGGCTGATTCAAGACGATAGTTATAGCGCGAGACCAAAATGACGACACAGAGACAAGAAGGACACGAAAGTCCTTCTTGTACTTCTTGTCTCTGTGTCGTCGTTTTGGTCTCGCGCTATAACTATCGTCATGCCATACCAACTAGCCCAAGCTGCCACACTTCTAAGGCTGATTCAAGTCTGGACTCCCTGCTAGTGGCCTTTTTTCGGCGCGCCACTTATCCAGCGCTGGTCTCCCAAAGTGCTGATGACTCTTCATTGCTATTCCTATACGTAACTCTTCATCACTATCTGATGAAATTAATATAGCGTTACTTTCTTCTGCGCTTCTTGATTGTCAGATTGACGCCATGAATTCCAAGCCGTCTTGAAACTGCTCATGCCAGATTACGTGCTTTGATCTTCTGGCAATGTGACCTTATATTGTTAGAAATTCCACTCTGTCGACAGTGTATAGGCACACTCCTACGTGCAGAGAGTTCTAAGTCGCCATCCGTATCATAAGAAAAAGCGTCTATTAAACATTGCCAGACAAACAGCGAGAGACAACAGAACAAAGACCACAGCAGCATGGAAGGAAAGTTGAGTATAACGAAGATCTCTATGGTGGGAATCGTACATCTTGTGGACAGAGGTGGTGCCAGCGAGACAGCAGGTGGGTGGGGAGTGGAGCCCTTTTTCTCCTGCCTCTTCAAGAACAAGCTTAGTCGAAGCACATGCATATGTTCCCAGGCTTCCTGTCTCCCTAAAGAAATTCACTTGTCGTGCCCCTCCCCCCTCCCTCCGTAAAAACGTTCTGGCGTCTTGGGTAACAGAAATCAAGGTGACTATCGCCTTGTCTTCGGACGCCTTGCGGCATATCCTTCGTATTTTTCTTACGACCACGTCTCCCCTGAAACTGACGCGGTGAGGCGCAGCAGCGTGCGTAACGAAGTTCCAGATAAGTTTAACATTTACTGGGTTCCCGTGTCGGTCGCTTAGCGCTACGTCAGATTAGCATGGCAATGCAACACTGAAATGGGCAGGGGGGGACGTGTCTCTTTACAGCCCCCACCCCGCCCCCTTCTCCCATATTGGAGAAAGAAAAGCTTTGCAATGCACGCGAAAAAAATTAAGTGATGAAGGGCTTCTGTCAACAGCGTGCAACCTTTGATCCCCGCTTTCCGGGCGTAAAAGTGGAACATGAACGGTATTTGTCTAATACAACGATTCCTCGTGTGCTATTATCGTCGAAGGCCTATCACGCCATAAACCTGCACATTAAACAATGACATAACAGGTTCGACAAAGTCGGGTTAGAAGGCCGACTTGGCACCCCACATCGATGATTAGAGGCGGACGCTCTGCTTTCCCTTATGCATGCCTATGAACGTGGCATCTCGCTAGACATCGGAAACTGTCACCTGTTTACTCCAGAACGGCCGCCCTGCAGCAGGCGGTCGGCGTACTCAAGCGCCTCCTTGGTCTTGGTGCTGCCTCCGCGATATCCGATCTTCTCAATCTCGCCTAGGAAGCCGCACATGCTGCTGCCGCCTTGGGAAATGTGGTCGAAGTGCAGCATGTAGTTGCTGCTGTAGGTGACCACCGCGATCCGGGAGAAATCCGGCGACACCGTCAGTAACCGCGCCGTCATCTGCGTGAATTCCACTTCGGCCGGAAAGTGATCCTCGCCGATGCTGCCGGATTCAGTCGAGCACGAAGACGATGTCGTTTCTCGTCCTGGCATACCGCTCGAGCGTTGTCACGAACCTCTGCAAGTCGTCCGTAAGCTGCAGACACCGCACCACTGACGTCGTGGCGAGCGCCAGCCCAACGCTCGCGAGAAGGCGTCGCACTCCGAGAGGAGACGAGCGACGTGGACCGCACATCGCTGTCGTACAGATGTCACTGATGCCGTTGCGTTCTGTCGAGCGGATCCTCCTTCGTGCCGGTGCCGCGCCACGTCTCTCTTATCGGAGTTCTTTAATCACGCGGAGCGGCGAAAGGCGGCCGCAGAGTCTGCCATCGCTAATTTACGCTTTCTGACGTGTATTTTTCTTTCTTTCAAGAGGCGGCGGCAACTATATATGGTAAGGAGGTTTCCCGTCCACACGTGAAAGCTAGAAAAGGCCGATATTTATTTCACCAAGCGTGTTCCTTGTGCATTCACATGAATGCGCACACGGTTCCTCATTAAGGGAAGTCAAGTTTCAACGCAACCCCCTTCCCACTCGCTTTTTTCTTCACGAGTTCGCAAGTATACGAGCTTCACAACGGAGGCAATAATGAAAGTGAAGAGATGACGGGCTTCGTAAGACGGTCTGGCATTCATACCCAACTTTTCAGGTGTAAACGCGAGCAATATAGACAGTTCGCGGAATCCAACATCAGGTGTCCGCTGCCGCCATTACCGTCAAAAACCTGTATATGCCCGTAGCCCTGCACCTGATACGATTAAGAGACAGGTACAAATAAGTAAATGTATGGGACAGACTGTGGAATATAGTGTACACCATTGAGATTATTTCTGTCTTTGTCACGTAAATACCAAACATCACACATTAAGCGGTAAACCAGCACACCCACCCAACGAGCACACAACGTTTCTTTATGTGTTTCTGCATCTTTTGGAGAAGCTATAGGTTGCTATTAATAAATGGACTTGGCATTGTTAAGAATTCCTTCAACTCAAGCGTAGTATTTTCCATGAGGGCGACGTGGAGGGGGGGAAAGGGGGGTTGGGACAAGTTACACCAGAAGTGCTCCCCTCTACCCCCAATTACGTTATTCGCGTTCGAAAGAAAACCGCTTTGCAATGAATTCAAAATTAGATTAAGCGATGCCATGCTTCTCACAACGGCGCACCTTTGGTCTCCGTCTTTCCAGGCGTAACGATGGAACTAAAGTTCTTAATACCATCATCAGGGGTCCTCGGCTACCATCGCAAAAAACTTGTTTGGCCAAAACACCAACCTTCCGTGGCTCGACAGGTTCGACGGCGTGAAGGTAGATAATTCGAAAGTGCAGCCACCGCACCCAGTAGTCCTGTACCGCCGAGGCGCACGCATCCTTGTGGCATCATTTCTGGCACTTGATTTGTTCAGATTTCCAAGAATATGCTTTTTTTCCAAGCGTACGAAACCTGTGATTTCCCGTGGGCATGTGTGACACTTTCACGTGCTGTACAGTTCATAAAGAGACATGTGTCGATCAGAAGTTACAATGGTGTTTTAAGTCCGTCGCCAAATGAAGGTGCCGCTGAGAGTGTGGGGAGGGAGGGGGGGCAGGAGCCCCCCAAAACTTCCGCCCCGCCCTGTTCCCCCCCCCCCTGCTAAGAGCAAACATATAGTCATAAGTCTCATAACAGAACGCATATGTCCCAAGCCTCCCTGCCCACTTGAAGAAACTCACTTGTCGCGTACCCCCCACCCCTGTTCCCAGTTGAAGAATCTTGGCATCGCCCCTGCGATAATTGTGATTGCTTATAGTGTATTTCACGTGCATCTTTGTGGACGCACCCGTCGCACTTAAAGCGTCCATTGCATCCAGGAACAAATGCTCGGCTATTATATACGAAAGAATCGTTTTTCTGTTGTTTTTTTATTTATATCTTTTTCGAGGCCAGTGAGCCTATATCTTCCGTGCTACTGAGGCCCCAGCTTAGTTGTTTCTTGCACGAACGAGTATCCCTTTGTATATCTCGCTGAACACGAGACGCTACACTCGCAACATCGTGAAAACCCATCGTCCCGTCTCTTGCATCCGTCTGCGAAAGATTACAGCGAAAGAGGAAGTTCTCGATGCCGCCCGAGACAGCTGCTCCTGCTACAATGTTCATCCTACGCGAGCTCAACATATTTGAGTTTTGCAACGTAGAACACTGTACCTTAACAGGCGTATTGATTTCTGCACTATTAACATTGTAGCTGTTTGAGCCGGCTAGCTGTAAACAACAAAAAATGGCAGCATAACCACGGAGTGAATGACGGAGAGTGGGATGAAGCATTCGTCCGTCCATTCGTTCTTGCTTCCGTCCATCCATGCGTCGGTCTGTGTGACCGTCCATGCATCCATCCACCCGTCCGTGCGTGCGTCCGTTCATGCGTCCATCCATGCATCTGCCTGTGTTTCCGTTCGTCCGCCTATTCAACACTCCAAGTACCACCATCTCGCATCTTTTCATCATATATTCCCCATATAGAAGCACCGCCATCCAGCGGACATTCCAAGGACTAAACGAGAGGTGGCACACGCACACTTTCTTACGGTTTGCGCTTCGGGTCTACTTCCCACCTTAAACCACCTCGAGTTCATGGTATATACTAGTTCACTGTATTCATGGCACTGCGGCCCAACGCTCGCTAAACCTTTCGAAAACCAAGGAGGTTACGCCCACTTTGCTCGGTGAAGTAAAGCACGTGAAAAACGTGAAAAAGGTAGGGATAAAGAAAGAAAAATAGAGAAAAATGAAGTTAATAAAGAAAAAAGTTAGAAGCACAGAGACGTACATAGAGAAAGGAAGAGAAAGAAACAGACCCAACGTAGATGAGAAGAACAGAGAGGTAGATCGAAATAAAATGAAGGAGCGAAAGACATTGATATGCATAGATAGAGATCTAAAGAAATAGACACGGGAAATAGAAAAAAAACAGAGAGAAAGACAGAAAGCGAGAAATAAAGAGAGACAATGAAAGAGAGATATGATGCAGAGGGAGAGAGAGAAAGAACGATAAGAAAGAAAATGAAGATAGAAACAGTCAGAAAGATAGAGTAAGTGAGAGCGAGCGAATGAAAGAAATATCAAGAAAGAATAGAAATCAACATACATAAAACAAATACAAGAAACAGAGGGGGGGAAATACAAGAAGAAAAATTAAAAAAATAAAACAAAGAAGGTAACCAAACTCTGCTCTTCTTACATTTTTGGCACCACTTGTGGGAGGGTGCCACAATTTTTTGGCATTCACAGCTCGACCCGCTCATGGTCTGTGTTCATTAGTAATTGTTTTCGCAGTACGATCGCCATCGTGGGGACTCTCGAATTCGAGTGATCTAAACCATATTTGGTGGGGAGGGGGCTGTATTTTCCTAACCATCCAAGAAAGGGCGCCAATTCTGCCTCACACATTTGCTGAGTCGAGCCAGTCCCGTCATTGTTCAGCGCTCGTTCAAACCCGGAAATCTAGGGAGGGGGGAGTGATTTTAAATGAAAAGAAGAGAAAAGTGAGCCCCATTATTGTCTCTCAGGGGGAGGACACCTCAACAGTAGCTCACGGGGGATGGAGGTAGAGAAGGGATTAAAAGGATAGGATTAAAGGTATAGAGAGATAGAGAGGGGGGAAGGAGAGAGCGAGGTGCCGGGACAGTGAACGACGAAAGTAAGGAGAAGACAGGAAAGACGGACACGGTTGCAGGAGTCCGAAGACGGGGAACCACTGACGAGAGATCTTGTCGGTGACAAGAGATGACGTAGGGTTAATCCAGTCGGCCAGAGCTACGCTGTCGTCGTCGTCGGGGACCGGCGTCAGGAGGTGGCGTAGAACCAACCCAGTCGCCAGAGCTGCACTTTCGTCGGATATCGCGAGGGCACAACCGGTCGGCACGGAATCCAGCGAGCGAGAGAAATCTAGGGAAGAAAAGCAGGCCGTTGCAAGTAGAAAGTGGTTCTTGAGGGCAAGAAAAAAGGAGTTAATTTATGTCCGCCTTGTATGGCGACACGACTTGGCTCTATGTATAGGGGATGTGGTAAGGGGATAAAAAAGAATAGTAGGAGGAGAAAGATATGGAAGATGGGACACTCACCGCACACCATTGAAGAATGAGGAGAAAAGAGAAAAGACGATTCGTCATGAAACAAGCGCCAAACAGTACAAACACTCAGAAAGAACACAAGAAGTTGTGTTGGAGCACCTCGTACTCTAAATCGTTCAAAACATTTTCTAACCACATGTGTTATTGATGAACCTGTATCTTTAAGGAAAGGGTGAATCTTTTTCTAAACAAGAACGAGTGCTGAGTGTTTGTACTTTTTGGCGCGTGTTTCATCGTGCGCAACTGTTTCGTCATGCGCAACTGTTGGCGCGTGTTTCATCATACCAACATGCGCAACTGGCAGTCATCCTAGAAAAGGTTGGGGGACACGGTCGAAGGAGTCCGAGCACAGTGAACCGCTTGGCAAAGATGCACGGTGTCAGGAAATCGCGCACGGTGGACCGATCAGCGAGAGCTACGCTGGCGTCGGAGATGGCGGACAACACAACCACTCAGCGCAGAGTCCACCACATGTCGTCACTTTATTCCCTTTTAGGGCCGAAGCTCCTTATAGCGTCACCCGTCGTAGTAATAGCACAGAAACCAGTCTTACATCTTGACCTCCAAGGTGGTGCTGGTGGGAGATTTCTTCTGTGCATTTTTTAACAATAAAAAAAATTAGCAGTGTGCGCGTTAACTAAACGCCGAATTCTCCTGTCTCTCATTTCCCATTGGCAGCCATTGGCATGTACATTGAGCACCATCTGACAGGAAAATGTTGCCACGTTATACTCGCTGAGCGTAACCTCCTTGGTTTTAGAAAGGTTTAGCGAGCGTTGGGCCACAGTGCCATGAATACAATGAATACTTCACACCTTTAACCACTCGACGTGGTTAAAGGTGTGAAGTAGACACGAAGCGCAAGTCGTAAGAAAGTGTGCGTGTGCCTCCTCTCGTTCAGTCCTTGGAATGTCCTCTGGATGACGGTGCTTCTATATGAGGAATATATAATGAACAGATGCGAGATGGTGGTACTTGGAGTGTTGAATAGGTGGACGAACGGACACACAGACAGATGCATGGACGGACGCACTGATGGCTGCACGGACGGGTGAACGCATGAACGGACGCAGGAGCGGATGCATGGACGAACACAGGGACGGACGCACAGATGGACGTGCGGAC